CAGGGTATATGGTCAGACGCCTCACAAACCCTAACTGCAACGGTATATAGTCAGACCACACACCAACCCTAACTGCAACGGTCTATAGTCAGACCACACACCAACCCTAACTGCAATGGTACATATGCAGACCACACACCAACCCTAAGTGCAACGGTATATAGTCAGACCACACTCCAACCCTAACTGCAACCGTATATAGTCAGACCGCACACCAACCCTAACTGCAACGGTATATAGTCAGACCACACACCAACCCTAACTGCAACGGTATATACCCAGACCACACACCAACCCTAACTGCAACGGTATACAATCAGACCACACACCAACCCTAACTGCAACCGTATATAGTCAGAACACACCAACCCTTACTGCAACGGTATATAGTCAGACCACACACCAACATGATTTTTTGCGCACGCGCAAAAATATGTTAACACAGAAGGCGCATGCTCTGTTCCTAACAAACTCTCACGCGCTCATTGTTCTCCGAAGTCCACTGTTCCTGATTTCAGTTCTTGCTTTGTCCGCATTGGCAGTGGATTTCTTTCTATATATAGTCAGACCACACACCAACCCTAACTGCAACGGTATATAGTCAGACCACACACCAACCCTAACTGCAACGGTATATAGTCAGACCACACACCAACCCTAACTGCAACGGTATATACCCAGACCACACACCAACCCTAACTGCAACGGTATATAGTCAGACCACACAACAACCCTAACTGCAACGGTATATAGTCAGACCACACACCAACCCTAACTGCAACGGTATATACCCAGACCACACACCAACCCTAACTGCAACGGTATATAGCCAGACCACACACCAACCCTAACTGCAACGGTATATACTCAGACTACACACCAACCCTAACTGCAACGGTATATAGTCACACCACACACCAACCCTAACTGCAACGGTATATACCCAGACCACACACCAACCCTAACTGCAACGGTATATAGTCAGACCACACACCAACCCTAACTGCAACGGTATATAGCCAGACCACACACCAACCCTAACTGCAACGGTATATAGCCAGACCACACACCAACCCTAACTGCAACGGTATATAGTCAGACCACACAACAACCCTAACTGCAACGGTATATAGTCAGACCACACACAAACCCTAACTGCAATGGTATATAGTCAGACCACACACCAACCCTAACTGCAACGGTATATAGTCAGACCACACACCAACCCTAACTGCAACGGTATATAGCCAGACCACACACCAACCCTAACTGCAACGGTATATAGTCAGACCACGCACCAACCCTAACTGCAACGGTATATACCCAGACCACACACCAACCCTAACTGCAACGGTATATAGCCAGACCACACACCAACCCTAACTGCAACGGTATATAGCCAGACCACACACCAACCCTAACTGCAACGGTATATACCCAGACCACACACCAACCCTAACTGCAACGGTATATAGTCAGACCACACACCAACCCTAACTGCAACGGTATTATAGTCAGACCACGCACCAACCCTAACTGCAACGGTATATAGCCAGACCACACACCAACCCTAACTGCAACGGTATATAGTCACACCACACACCAACCCTAACTGCAATGGTATATAGTCAGACCACACACCAACCCTAACTGCAACGGTATATAGTCACACCACACACCAACCCTAACTGCAACGGTATATAGTCAGACCACACACCAACCCTAACTGCAACGGTATATAGCCAGACCACACACCAACCCTAATTGCAACGGTATATACCCAGACCACACACCAACCCTAACTGCACCGATATATAGTCAGACCGCACACCAACCCTAACTGCAACGGTATATAGTCAGACCACACACCAACCCTAACTGCAACGGTATATAGTCAGACCACACACCAACCCTAACTGCAACGGTATATAGCCAGACCACACACCAACCCTAACTGCAACGGTATATACCCAGACCACACACCAACCCTAACTGCACCAATATATATAGTCAGACCGCACACCAACCCTAACTGCAACGGTATATAGTCAGACCACACACCAACCCTAACTGCAACGGTATATAGTCAGACCACACACCAACCCTAACTGCAACGGTATATAGTCAGACCACACACCAACCCTAACTGCAATGGAATATAGTCAGACCACACACCAACCCTAACTGCAACGGTATATACTCAGACCACACACCAACCCTAACTGCAACGGTATATAGTCAGACCACACACCAACCCTAACTGCAACGGTCTATACCCAGAACACACAACATTAGCAAGACTAGACTGATTGATATTGATATCATTATTTCATTCCTTCGGCGATTGTCTTCTTCGTAAAACGAATGATATCATGTCTTTGCCGAACACTAGCGCTAATACACACAAACTGGACAACACTACGTCACGACTTACAACTCCACAACAAGTTACCAGACTCAGCACCAGACCTGCTGGCACACTAATGCTACAACATAATGATGGAAATACAGAATGACACTATGGCACAGTGTTATCACAACACACCGACACTAGGACACCCTGACACAAAACACTGACACCAGGACACACTGACAGTGTGACATGTCCCGAGGCTATTATTGACACCAAGGGTTGCTTCAGATTGACCCGAACATACAACGGTACGCAGCATAAACTCCACATATAGATGTTGGAATTGTTCGGAAGTTCGAAGCCTTGTAGATCTTCTTCCACTTCGACTTCCATCAAGCGTGATTCTTGTACTTCAAATTGATGAAAGACTGAGTATGGTGAATTGATCTCATCAAAGCCAATCACTACACAATAACTCCAGAGTGACAAGAAAACTTGGCCTTATTTCATCGAAAACTTGTGTCACACAGCTTTGCACTCGCTGTAACGAGCACTTTTAGCAGTGACAAGAAGCCTAGCTTATGATTGGACTAGATACTATTACGTTGCTGTGAGTACATTGCAGAAGTGAGATCAAAGGCAATGTGCCTTTATCGTCAGGACATCTTTTTCGTTTCTTTGCCATCTACTAATGCACCAGATAAGCAACAAGAAATGGGCAAGATGAAGGTACCAATAAAGTTAAAGATGGCAGATCTAACCCAAAAGAAACTTTGCCATACACTACCGAAACATTGATGCTAATGCGTATGCTGTGCTACTAAGGCGCACGCACTGATTCCAGGGCACCTTGAAACCATGAAACTGCATTGTAGTACGACACAGTAATAGCCAAAGCTTGAAGTAGGGCTCACTGCTACGCTAACACAATGTCAAAAATACATTGGCATTACGGCACACATTGAGGCTAAGACACACTGACATTGTGACGCAAACACACCAACGCTTTATAACTCTATGATGCTGCGTTACAACATACACTGGTATCATAACATACACTGCCACTACCACAGATACAAAAAACTACAACAGACATCGACCATACAACAGACACCGACACTACAACAGACACCGACACTACAAAAGACACCAGTCTTTGTACCAGCTTCGGAGAACTGCACCTGGTCATCAGGCATGCAACCGGGCAAGGCACAGAAAACCTTAGTTCTCCCACTTGTTTATACGCAGAATGGTATGCGCTCTATTTATTTTATTTTCTGGCGGCAGGCAGATGGCACTCTCTTCCAGCTGACTGTCGACAGGCCCACTCTCTTGCTCTGTTCATTAAAGGGGAACTGTCACCAAAAAAATTCTTCGTCTTATCTTGTAGTTCTTTGGCTCCTGATCACGATGGTGTTATCCGTTGTTCTCTGCGATGGCTGGAAGTGGGTGAAAACTTGAAAAGAAGGTGCCCAAAATTGTCCCGAAGTACCGAGTGACGTCACGCCGGACTTGACCTCCACGCGTACATTCGTCATCAAAAACGAAGTCCAGCCCGTGTGCTCGTCGATCGAGCTAGCTGTTCCTATGTACGGTGCACGTGTGCCTTTTGAACTGTAACACAGATGGGTACGTCGTACCGAAGGAGAATGCCCAAGAGGCAGAGACCCACGTGGAGCTACACAGCCAAATCAAAATAAAAAGCAGCTGAGCTTTCACCTTTTTGACTTCTTCCGCAAGGATTAGTTTTATTTTGTGAGCACGGAAGTGCGTCGTTGTTTTGAACTTTTCGTGCGAGGAACAACACGATGATGAGTGCGTTTGCAGAAAACAGAACTCCTCCGGCCGGCGATAACACCACCAACCCGAGCCCCAAAGGAACGCAATGTAGTTATGTGAAGGCCACTCATCTGGCGATGTTGCTCAAGATGCAGATGACGAACTCCGACGTCTTTCATTTCAGAGCCGGGTGGGCAACATCGCCACCTTTGATACAACGACATCATTTTCAAGTACGAGGTATGTGTGTAACACTAACAGCAAACAAACATCCTTCCACTCCTTCGTAATCACAAATAAAACAAAGAGCTGGAGCTTCGTGGAGGGAGTACCAGTGCGACAAACTGCAGTCGACTTTTGTTTATTTTGTCCCTTTTTCAGTTTTTGGCGTTCTCATTGTGTACAAAGTACACATCGAGTGTTCGAGTTCAGAAGGCAAGCGTGCACCGTACATCGAACAGTTGGTTCGATCGACGAGCACACGGGCTGGACTTCGTTTTTCACGATGAAAGTACGCGTGGAGGTCAAGTCCGGCGTGACGTCACTCGGTACTTCGGGACAATTTTGGGCACCTTCTTTTCAAGTTTTCACCCACTTCCAGTCATCGCAGAGAAAAACGAATAACACCATCGTGATCAGGAGCCAAAGAACTACAAGATAAGACAAAGAAAAATTTTGGTGACAGTTCCCCTTTAACATGGTTAAACTTTCACCTAGGGTTCCCAGTAAAAAGGCAGTAGGCTGTTGGGACTCCCCTAGTAAAAAAATAAAAACTACTACTACTATTACTACCAGTATGACAACAGACATCGACACTGCAGCAGACACCAACACTACAACATACACTGACACTATAAAAGACACTAACCCTTCGTTGTCAGTGTCTTCAGCACGATTCTTCCAGTACGCCCCATCCCACTGACCCACACACAGAGCAACAGCTTCCTGTGTCAGAAAAGGAGAGTTCGGGGAGAAGACAATGAGTCAAATAAACAAGGGGAGACAACGAGAAAAAATTCAATGAGAGAAAGGGCAACAAGAGAAGGAGAACCAAAGAGTACATGCAAGAAGAGTCTGTGCACAGTGACGCACCCGAGCAGAGTCTGATCATAGCAGTGCATGCAGAGGCTCACTCCACGCGCAGCATCGCATGCAGAGGCTCACTCCACACGCACACCTCTGGCAAAAGAGGCCATTAGACCACTCAAAGGTCAAAAAGACAGCACTACAACGGACACTGGCACTAAAGCAGGCACTGACAATACGGCAGATACAGATAACATCATACACCAGCGCACGAAGACTCGTATGTTGCGATGCACTGCTACCCTGAGCCTGGGGCACACTGCGGCTATGGCACACTGGGGTATGGCACACTGGGGTATGGCACAATGACACTACGACATACTGGTACTTACTCAACACCACAACAACACAATGACACAATGACAGACAGGCACAATGACACTACGACATCCTGGTACTTACTCAACACTACAACACAATGACACAATGACACTACGGCACATGGACACTACGGCACACTGACACTATGACGCACTAACCCTATGACTCACTGATACCGAGACACGTTGACCCTATGACACACTGACACCGAGACACGTTGACCCTATGACACACTGACACCGAGACACGTTGACCCTATGACACACTGACACCGAGACACGTTGACCCTATGACACACTCACACCGAGATACACTGACACTACGACACACGGACCCTGTGACACACTGCCAACGAGACACACTGACCCGGTCTCACACTGCAAATGAGACACACGGACCCTATGACACACTCACACAGAGACACACCGACACTGCGGCAGGCTGACACTACAACACACTGACCCTGTGGCACACTGCCACCGAGGCACCAAGATGCGAAAACAAGGAACTGCTGGCACCACAGGCCTTTGGGAAGCACTGGTGGTTCTCTTTTCAACTGAAGCTAAAGAAGGACACATAGGCATCCCCTCTGATTCCACACCAGTGTTGGTTCATGGCAATCCAGGTATTTACTTTACCCGTCCATGTCCGTTTCAGTGCAAAGCAAGCCCTGCATGTTCAACTAATTATAATTTTTTATGGGTACTTAAACGTGGCTCAGTGGACAGTCTGCATACAGAGGGTCTTTAGACCCTATACTTACATTATTGTTTTTCGACATAGCCGTTGCACTGGATTTGCTTCCAATTTAGCCTCATCCCTGTGTGTGTGACCGATGTAGCCTCATCACTGGATGTGCGACCGATGTAGCGTCATCACTGGATGTGTGACCGATGCAGCCTCATCACTGGATATGTGACCGATGTAGCCTCATCACTGGATGTGTGACTGATGTGGCCTCATCACTGGATATGTGACCGATGTAGCCTCATCACTGGATATGTGACCGATGTAGCCTCATCACTGGATATGTGACCGATGTAGCCTCAACACTGGGTCTGTGAGAGATGTAGCCTCAATACTGGATGTGTAGCCGATGTAGCCTCATCACTGGATGTATGACCAACGCAGCCTCATCACTGGATCCATGACCAAAGTCATAACACGTTCTCTCCAATGAAAGGAAGCAATAAATTTGCACACAAACACAGATAACAGAACATGACATTAGCATACTCAGTGAACAACCCAGGATTGGAACATGTTGAGGTGCTGCACACAACAAAAATCGTCAAATGATGAACATGACCATAGCATGGTCGTCATGTTTATGGGCTATGGCTAAAGGCTTTAGAAGCAATTTTTCCGTGTATTTATCGCGGCGCCTAATTTGGTCTTCAGAAAGACAGTGTATTACTTTGAGATTGTTCAAATAATGCTTCATGTGTTTTGCCCAGGCTTAGTATGTATCCGGGTAAAATGTACACCTGCTTAGCACGGTCCTTTTTCGTCGCACGGATTTTCCTCCCACAAGCGCACATACAAATGTGTATGGATTCGACGTACTCTCATAAGACTTACAACTCGTGCACACAGGACTTTTTGGTAGGTTCCCACTGACCTGGCCTCGCGTGACTACGTACTGCTAGATGTTTTTGTACACCTGAACACATGACAGACTCGCTTGACGGTGACTTCTGTACGTTGCCAGTGTAGAAGAGGCTGTTTGCAGTCCAGGCAACCTGGTTTGCAAAACGAATTGGTGGCAATAACCACGAACATTTCTGGGTGCAATAAATAATTTCGAGCATTTTGGAATACTGCACTTTTTCCGCTCCAAATAGATGGGTTAGCCATGGAATTTCCCTGTGCATTTGGCGAGACTTGCGCTCTCTTAGATGCCATTTTGTCACGGCTTTGCTCGGCTAGCAAGCTAGATATAAGGACCTGTTTGCTGCCACTCTCATCATCAATGTACTAGTACCGACTTTGAAGGGTGATGGTTCAAAGGCCTCGTCAACATTTACAGTGGTATCCGTGCTTCTTTTGCTCATGAAAGGAATATAACAGCTACGGGCCACCCATTGTTCCGTGATGAATATGTGATGTACTTACAGCCTGTTGATGCCCTTGCCATATATTTTATAAAGTAGACGCATAATTTAGTCTGCAGAGCAACCCACATACACCAATGTATGGCAAACGCACGAACACACACAAACACACACACATACACACACACACACACACACACACCATGCACCATGTATATGCCCGTCGCAAGAGAAGCAAGCAAATCTGCAAATGCACAGGATATGCACCCACAGATTTTCTCTTATAGCAATGGTAAGGTATAGGAATCTGAATGAGATCAAGACTAGTGCCAGATATCTGTCTAATGCACACAACTGGTTAAGCCATGTGAATCGACCCCCCCCCCCCCCATGCACGTCTGGTCTACACCACACGGAGCACATCGGAATAGGACGGCCAAGACAGCTACCTATGTCCACCTAACACTTGCTGGGGTAACCAGCATAGACAGCACGCTGTTTTCATATATGCAGACTGGTACCTAGATGCACTCGTACCTTGAAGTCAAATTGGAGTTAATTTTCCAACCAATTTCGGCAAATGAGTACTGGGAACCTAGGGCCAACAGACATAACAACAAATTCAACCATGAAAGCTATTATAGTAACAACACACGGGATTGTGAAGCCGAAACTAGTCCAACTTCCAAATGCTTTGGCAAGAAGCACACCATGTACCATGCAGCATAAAGAGTACATGGAAACCAGAGTGTGCAGCTTGGGGCTTTTTCTACTATGGGTGTCTGTAACGGCGGAATTCGGTGATTACATCATATTTGGTGCAGATCTGAGGCGGGAAATGGCGTAGTGCGTACAACTGAGCTGCAGTTGTGCAGGCAGATACCTGCTTGAATCCTGCTTGTACGCACTACATCACTAAAATAATGTATTCACGGAATTCCGCCATGACCGCAACCCGTCCGAGCTGCACACTCTGGTTTTCATGTACTCTTGGTACCATGTATACGCACGTCGCAAGAGAAGCACGTAAATCTGCAAAGTGCATTGGATGCTCATCCACAGAATCTCTCTTATAGCAACGATAGCGGACAAGATCTGAATGAGACAGATAAGACTAGCGCCAAGTAATTGCCCAATCCACACAACCTGCAAAGCCATGTGAATCGACAACCAATGGGAATGCACACCTTGTCTACACCGCACAGACTACATCGGACGGCCAGACAGTTACCTATGCACACCCTACACTTGCTTTCAACAAGCACACACACACACACATGTATATATAATATATATACACCTTGGTCCTTGGTAACACTGCCATCAAATGGTCACGTGTCCCCTGTGCAGGGGTCGACAGCACTGAGTTCAGCATTTGATCCAGAAACGCCGCTCTACTCCCTGGACAGGAAATTAGCACAGCTATGCAGGTCAAAACCACGGGATGACTTGCAGCAGCGACCGCAGCCGAGACAATGCGCTCTGCAGCAGAGCAGGGCAACCGGCTGTTTCCGGACCGAGTCTGCCGATGCCACAAACACACACACACACACACACACACACACAAACACACACATCACACATCACAAGATAATCGTGCCATGCATAAGCACCCCTGCCTGCTATTTAAACAGTAAGTGGTGCTTTCTTGAAGGTTTCCTGAGTTGAAGGTTTGACGAACTTCTCGCATGCTATGGGTGGGGGGTGTAGAGTGGACGGTTTCCAATAGGAAATAGGTTGCAAAACGGAAAGGGCTCAACATTCACTCTGGATGGCAGTCGTGAGTCAAATCGGAGGAAAAGTGCGAACTCCAGTGTGGGAAGCAAACCCTGTCCTATGAAATTATCGCGAAATCGCTACCACTTTTTCATACAGAGAACTTCAACATTAATGCTAGCTTAGTTATGACAATAGCATATAAGTTTGCTCCTTCGCTTCTGATGAGCAGGATGGAATAAAATTACTGTTTTAAGTCCTTTTTTCTGTAATGACATCGACGTCTGCAAGTCCAATAGTGGCGTCTACGACTAAAACCAAATAATATTGCTCCAAAATATCACAATACTGCTTTTCATAACTGCTGTGGTAATAATAATTAACATCTTTAATACCAACACAATTCCTCTCTTTAAAACGTAGTGCGTGGATTTGCATCCATCTGCCACCATTTTACTGGATTATTCTCAAAACGGAGTCGACAATGCCCTATATTCTGTGTGTGCATCCTCTGTTCAATCTGAGAAATGCTGTCATGTGCCCCTTAGCAGGTACGTCTTGTTATTGTATTTCTATTTCTGTTGTCGTTGCTCTTCTATTTCCATGCCGCACCGAATACTCGGTGCTCATTTCCCAAGTCCATTTAGCACGTGCGAATTTGTGGGCGGTTTACCACCGCTGACATTGACGCGTAAGTGCATAATAATAATATTAATAATAATGACATCAAAGATGAATGCTATTAGAAGTTCCGCAGATTCCCTGAAGATCTGTCCCAAAAGACGCCGCATGCATACGCATTGACTAACAAGTCTTCATGAACACTCGAGGCACAGTTCTGGATGTTCTCATTATACCAGATATAATCACTGGCCGGAAACCTGTTTGTGGAGGAGGCTGCCTTGTCCAAGCTTGTGTTGAGGCCAGGCTGAATTGAACCAAGCCACCTTTCGATCCGATCTGTTTCTCTCAAGTGTGCTGATTTTTCACGTTAAACTTTGGTGTCACAGAGGCTGCTCTGACTCTGGCCGGCTAGAAGGGAACTTGAAATATATACTTGGTCCGACTTATTAAAATGTGCGCTTCGGTTCAAACGTAAACCAAACAAATTCAAATAATCTCAGGATGGAATAAACTATCCAGATACCTAACACTGTCCTTCAGTTGTCGATTTGTGATGTTAAAGAAGAAATGGCTCCAACTCCAAAGGAGGCAGCGCCTCAACATCCTAGTCGACTCGAGCATTTCGCGTCCAAATTTTGTCGTCAGAGGACTCCTGTTGCTTCTCACGCAACACAGAGAAAGCCTAGTGCTGAAATCAACACCCCAATGCGATGGAGAATTGTCACAGAGTACCAGAAACTTCTGGGCGACCGTTCTCGAGTGCCTCATCGCGGATTGAAATCGCTGCAGTCGCTGTTTCCTTGGCAGAATTTCAGCAAATGTGTCATCCAGAAACTCGTGCAGAAAGCACCAGCATCGCTCCGTCCAGTTTGCTGATATCAGTCGCAGTCCTTCAAGATGTGGCGGCCGACGAAACAAGATCACAGAAGAGATCGCCGAGAAGTTGACCGAAATAAATAACCGCCCCCCGAGGTTGCCTCTCAGGCGACAACCTGGCTGGAAAACTGAAGCACGGAGAGGGAAAATCATTCTGCCCATATGTACGGTGCGTGAATGGTGCGGAGTTCTCGGAGCCGCGATCGCGATGCTTCATCGCTACATCAAGCTTATGCTAAAGCTCCATCACAAGATCGCCACTCTCCGGGGCCAGTGGATTCGTAAAACAGGGAAGAGCACGCATGGTGTGACTGCATGACATGTCGGCACAGATCAGACTAGTCGACTCAGCACGCATGCGGCACACGGTGATGAGAAGTGATTTTTTATGTGTGGTGGTGTACTTGTTCGCCTCATTTGAAGGTGTCGTGGGAGCGTCAGGCGAAAACACCTACAGCCACCATTCTGGCAGTCGTACTGCACGAGGAGGAGGCGAAGACGATCATCTAAATCGTGCCTATGGAGTGAAAAAATCAAGGAAGCGCAGCGTAGCTTGGAGGAGATGAAAAAAATGTCGATGTGTTGCAGGGGGGATGCACTTGCACATGTGCCCTGAAACACCAGCAGCGATGAAAACTAGAAGGTCAGGCCAAGAAACGACACAGTAGTTATCTATCTACCGTCTCTTGGTTGATTTTTTTTAGTACAGGTGCTCCTTTGTACATATGATTGAGTTTTGAAGTAAAGCGCACATTTTAATAAGTTCGACCAAGTACGCTTATCTCTCCAATATCCAACTTGCTGTCCTTCGACTACGACGAATGCACCGAAACCATACATTTGGTGTGTGCCTCCACCAGTTTACTTCGCAAAAGGGTTGGCGAAAGGCAAGCTGTTTTAGTCGGATCGATGAAGAAGCAGCTGCGGTGTGAAAACCGAGGGAACACAATGGTGGAGATGCCAGGAGTGTCCACCTTTCTGCAATGATTGGTGATTCTTGGTAACCTCTTCTTGTCTCGCCATTTTCATCACTTAGCTGGCTCTTGATGTTTGAGTGAAGGGCTGTTGGACTCTGGGTGCACTCAAAATCGGTTGTGTTAAACAGACCTTCGTGTAAGAAAAATCCAGGAGAGTGAACAATCACTCTTGCTATCCTCTCAAGGAGAGTGGTGGGCACACCCACTCCCCCCCCCCCAAAAAAAATATATTGCTCGTCTTATCTATCCAAGGCGAGCAAAATACGGGTTTTTCAACATCTTGCCATACTCCAATCGGATTCAATACCCAATAGCTGCCAAATTCAATCTGGAAAATCGCCGTACGCACTACAAATGGAAGTTGTTCGGACCACAACTTTAGTTTCCCTTCATCAATTTTAACAATGAATCTCAAGCATTCTGGAAAGCTATTGGCAAGAGGAACACACCAGTGGGATTTTCACCAGCTGGAGTGTTACTGCAGTGGCACTATAGCCTAGGGCTAATAACGCTGGGAAGACACGAGCAACGGAAAATTGAGACAATTCGCTAAGATCCATGTTATTTTTTTGTAGTATTCATCGTAGAGCGCTCCATTCTTCTGTAGCTAACCGCTAGAGACCTGTGCCTGACGTCACACAGGTCTATGCATGCCCGGATCGCGGACTGTCACGCAACAGAGGGAAATTCTTTACTCGTATGTCAAAATAACGAGAGAGCTTGGAAGCTCAGGGCCCTACGCTATGCTTTTTTGCCTTGATGACCTAGGCAAAAAAAAGCATAGGGATGTTATACATTTTTCATTTCTCCTATTTTTTTAAGACATAACCTGGGATTCGAACCTGCACTATCGCCCTGCATGCATCCCCCGATACACTTTGCATACATACTAATTCTTCCAAGTTGCTTCACGTTATGATCTTGCATTTGAAAGCCCTAATTGAAGACTGTGGCCAGCCGTTTGTGGCCAGCCGTCTTTGATGGTACGGTACGGGACAGGTACGGTCGAGGGTAATACGACACCGTCTACCACCTTGATGACCTAGGCAAAAAAGCATAGGGATGTTATAAAATTTTCAATTCTCCTATTTTTTTTTTAAGGCATAACCTGGTATTCGAACCCGCACAATCGCCCTACATGCATTACCCGATACACTTCGCATTCATACTCAGTAGTAGTAGTAGTAGTAGTAGTAGTAGTAGTAGTAGTAGTAGTAGTAGTAGTAGTAGTAGTAGTAGTAGTAGTAGTAGTAGTAGTAGTAGAATTTATTATTTTACTAGGGAACTCCCAACAGGCGTTGCCTTTTTACTGGGAACCCTAGGAATGACTTGGTGCTTGTGACAAATGCAGAAAGGGGCTTAGCTTGACGACATCCAGGTGGAAGCATGTTCCATCTGTCTGCTGCCAAAAATGAAATAGCATTCAGGCCGTAACGAGACGTAGCTCTGGGTAGGTTCAGAGCGGCTGAAGCTTGACCGCGGGTAGCAGCATTTGTGCGGCATGATGCAGAGCAGGGGGTAAATATCGTGCTTAAAAGAGGACTGGTGCAACGAGATAGACACCTAAAAACAAACACAAACAGCTTCAAGTTTACACGGCGAGAGAAAGTATACAGGTTATATTTGGTGAGAATGAAATCGATAGAAGTATCTTGATCATGGCCAAACACTCGCCTTAGGCACCTATTGCTGGTTGACTCAAGTTTGTCTCTGAGTTTAGCAGACAAGCAGTGAACATAACATGTGCTGGCATAGTCCAAGGTACTCTGGACAATTGTCAGGTAAAACTCATTCTTCCAAGTTGCTTCACGTTATGATCTTGCATTCGAAAGCCCTATTTGGTCAGCTGTTTGTGGCCAGCTGTCTTTGATGGTACGGTACAGTACGGGACAGATACGGGATAGCGCCAGACGGAGGTCCATCCGCCACAAACAAACAAACACCAAATTAAAGCTGTGTGGACCCTGGCTAGCGCCAGACGTTACTGAAGTAACGTCTTCTGCATAGCTACGGGAATAATGATGATTGCCACCCAAGTGCGGAAGTGAAAATCTGCAACGGGACGTAAAATACCTTGTGAGTGCCGTAACTCCACTATTCGACTTCGGATTGACTTCAGCTTTGTTGGAGCCGACAGCTGAGAACTGTCTAATGCGAATAGACCTTTCGATTACGCAATTCCGTTCAGGGAAAACCGAGTTACGAAATATTTGAGTGTTTGCAGAATGGACTTCATAGTGATACGGAAGGCGCGTGACGAAAAGTGCGCCCGAAATGAAAATAAGGAGAGCGAAGGCGCGCGAGAGCGATCGCTCTCCTTTTACCAGAT